TCACCAATTAAAAGATGTCGAATCATGGCACTCTTATACAAAATATCACGTCACCCGCCACATGCACTAATACGTTTGAATATTACGCGCTTGACAGTCCTGTCACGCGCTCGAAAATGTTTAATATCTTCCGGTCCACTGTTCTGAAAAATGTATTTTGTAGATAAAGAAAAAGCGCATAAAATAGTATTTTTTTCCTTTTATTTTATAGAGGGGGCAAACATGAAAAACTAGTTTAAAAAATTAATCTGTTATTAACTCCCTATACCAAAAAAAAAAAAATTAATTTATTTATTTGAAAAGCCTATTCAATAAGGTTTAAAACAAAAAAAAACAAAATCGATCCGATCAGTAGAACCGGAGATAATGGGTTTTATGTAGAAGAGAATTTATCGTTTTATCGCAATTCATAAAAACTTTATATCAACATATCTCTGAAAAAACAAATTTTTTACAGAAAACCTGATACACGTATCTGCTTATTTACTGAATAGAAGCGGTAAAAAAATTTTCATGCGAATCCAAACCCTGATGTCAAAATAGGTGTACGATTTGTAAAAGAATGTCTCATATACGTAAACATACACATTTATCTACATTTGTATCCAATTTCTTTGCTACTATATTTTAAGTTATCATCACCATATTATCTTTTTATAATGGTTATAATATAATATATAAAGTTTTATACATCGCGATGCATCGTTGGATTTCTTGATTTTTTTCTATCTAACCTTATACACTTCCAATATGGCGGCAATAGAAAATAACAAAAGGTGGTGGTGGTTCCTTAAAATCTTGTTGTCGAAAAAAGTTACAAATTGGATGAATATGTATCTGTATCTTTACTTTTAAAACTTACTTTTTTCAAAATTTTCAGGAATAACGAGTTTATAATAACGATTACCATAGCGAATTCCATTTTAATGGATTAAATTCCGCAATTGTTCTCTAATTTAACCGACCTCAAGCTCTTTAAATTAAAAAGATACCCATCCATTAAGGAAACTTGGTGCAGGGTGTAAACCCTAAAAAGTGTATACATACACGTATGTATGTATGATAAAAATCGATTTTTGGGTTAACTTTAATGATGATAAAAAAATATGCCCGATCGTTTAAATTTTAATTTTATTTTTATATTACCTGACTTGTCTTTTTGCTTCGAAAATCAGTAGGTAATTTTATTTTAACAAGAGTTTCTTTTAAAAATTTTAATACATTATGGAATTGCTAAAACCAATAAAATTATTTAAACCTTTTAGTTAAAATCAAAAACATTTTGGATTTCATTAAAAATATTATTTCAAATACATCTGTAATTTAGTTATATATTAGCATATCTCTAAAAAGAATCCATGAGGGTACCAGCTTTTCTACCATTTTAATTATATTGCCATGTATGGTTAAACAAAAAGTCTAATACGTGAACAAAACTACGAAAAGTAGCTCATATTCCCATGTTTTTAAATAAGTTTATCAGGGACGCGGATCTGGAAGACTACGTGAACGCAATTATAAGAGAATTATCAGAAGAGTGTCTCTCATAAACATAGCAGATAATCACGTTGCATATAAAAAAATTAAACGTGACTCGAGCTTTCTTTTATTCTTGCTCACTGAGCTTCATCTAGGCATTAAAGAACAAAAATGTTGGCGATATTTTATGGGAAATATTCCATATTTAATAGTTAATATATTGCATTTTATTTAATAAATTACACATGCATGCATTAATATTGAAAGTAAAATATTTGTACTATAATGGCGTTTTTGGACAATGCACTTATTAAAACTGTCCTTTAATATTTTACACCTTTTAAATATTTTCTTCATATAGGTACGCTATAGTTTTTACTTAAACTTCAATCACGCTCTAGTTTTTCCGCAGCCATTATGTGGGTATTCGTTTAATTTTGGCATCTTTTTTTATTAATGTATGAAAATATGCATTATTGCAATAAAACAGTTTTTTGTGGCTCTTTGGTTTTATATCATCGTCCAAACAGTAAGCTCTCCTGTTATTGTTCTTCTTTTTTTAAGATAAAAATGGAGATCCCAAAAATACTTATCGAAATATTTCCAATTAAAATTGCGCTTTAAAACCTGCAAACATGGTCTGAAACAATGTTACTTTTTGTTCTGGTTTTAGTAAATCCCTCATGCATAAAGCTTTTTTTATTTACATTAAAAATATTACCGATACATGTTTTGGGCCTCAGCTATTACCTATTTTTAGATTACTAATAACTAATTACTGGAAAACTTTAAAAGTTTGTGAAAATAACATGAATTTAGTATAGGTGGAGACATTTATTAAAAGGTCTCTTAGTCCATAAAGTATATTTACTACTAAAAAAACTAACAAAAAATATATAAGGAAAAAAGCTTATAGGTAAATAAAAAATAATTAAGTATAAGGGTAGGTATACATTTTGTATCACTTTTTATTTTCAAATTAATAAAATTTAATACTTAAATCGTAAACCTTAATATTTTTGTAAATTGGTATATAAAACATTTTAAATATTTAGATTAAATAATGTCTTATAAAGTTTTATCGGTCAATGTAGGATTATTGAAAAGAGTGAAGACCAACCTACAAGAACGGCTTTAGAAATGTATAAATGTACGTATACAATTTATAAATATAAATAATAATAATAATTAATATAGGTAATTTTAAATTTACCACGCTTGGGGTTTACTAAATGCCAATTCAATAAAAATCAACATTTAAAGCTTGTTCTTATTAAAAAAATTTAAATTAAATTTTAATTCTATGACATCCATATGGGTAGAACAAATTTTGGTATATAAGTTTAATTATTGGCAATCTTTTATCTATCCGTTTCCAAAAAAAAATGTGTTCTACCCATATGGATGTCATAAAATTTAATTTAAATTATATAACTGACTTTTATCTTACAATACTTTTTACAAAATCGGATAACATGGTCAATTCTGAGGTGGTAATACTTCACTTTTGCATTTTCCTTCAATAATAAGGACATGAAAGAAGTTAGTAACTAAATTTAAAATTAGCAAGATTATTTTTCTTAGTTTAAATAATGCGAGGTGGATATTCATCCAATTTTTTACTCTTTTAGGTTTTTTAATCATAATTTCTTTAGTTTTTGTAGAAACTGTTGTCAAAAATTACAAATCTAGGTGCTCTGAAAGAAATCAATTTTACCTATATTTTTGTTTAGAATACATAAGAGCTGAATATCATTAGAGGATGGACTAATTCCAAGAAAAGCTTAATTTCAATATCTCGCATATATCAAGCTCATACTTACATTTCAGAGTTTTCAGAAGAAGACGTAGATGGTTGTAAAATTGTTACCGACGTATCTTTACTATCCCTTTTCGCATATTTATTTTTGAACTCTTTTTCATTTTCTTCTTGCTGTCTCTTTCTTTTCTTCCTTGCTGTAGTTTTAAGGTCATCACTAATCATGCTATTTGCTTTTGAAGGAAAAAACGTTTTTTATTTTTTTATGTTAGTCTTTCGCAGCAACATCAAACAAATCTTCGAGATCACTTCTGAACATATTCTCACGCACCGTATTATTTTCGCTTTGACGAGAACGGTCCTTGTTGAGAGTTAAATATTGTTCATACTAACCCCCCGCCCACCCAACCAATCCCTTGTCTATGGTTCATACAATAATAATAATACAAAATTATTTTGATCGTTTTCTCCCACATGAATTAATTTGCTGTCAAAATTTTGACATTTAGAAATAACTTTCTGCAGAAATCTATAATGGTGGTAATTTAATATTATTAATTCAATTATTAATATAGATAGATTTTATTACGCAAATTATTTTATAGCAAAATAAAGCTTTTTTGATACAAATAAGTTAATTACAATCTTATTTTTAAAAATTAATTTAACATATTATTGCAGCGCCCTCTATTGAAAAATGTAAAAAAAATACCGCCTAGGCATTTGTATTTATTTTTACAAGGCTAGCAGTAGAAATACTTACTTTTTCGCCCCTATAAAGAAGGTAAAATTCCACTTTACCATAGTGTAGGAAGAAAAATCATTTACTTTGAATTTATGATATTTAAATTTATTAAACTGAATATATTATTCCAGAAAGATAAAAAGACAACTTTTGGTTACCCAGTCTATAAAAAATTCCAAAAAATAAGCAAAAACTGAAACAAGTGACATTAATGGGGTATGAAAAAATTACCATCTGGAACTCTACGGGTTATCGCTTTCAAGTTACAGGAATTTAAAAAAATCAAAAAAATTATTTTTAATTAATTACTGTCGAATGCTCAAAAGATAGGAAATGCTCAGGTATAAATTTAAAAAAAAATACTTTTTTGTTTCAAGCGTATAACAGTTTTTAAATTATAACACTAATAAGCTTAAAAAGACTTTATATTTCAAGGGCTTAATGTGAAACAATGATAAGCCACAAAAATTAAAAAATGAGATATTTGACTTTTAATATTTAAAAAAATATGTAAAATCCGGTAACAAATATTATTCTTTTATTTTTTCATATTCTGGTGTATCATATCCTTTAGGACTACAGTTAAAAAATAAAAAATAACTTGTGGCTTGTTACATTATTGTGTTAAAATTAAATTTCCAAGCTCTAATACGAAAAAATTTTTTTCAAACTACAACTGTTTTAAGAGAATCAAAAATAGGTTATTTAATCTACTAGTTCAGCGACTTCATCAGCAACATTGAGATTAGTATCCTTGCGTAAGCTATTGTAGAAGGGGTGATACACTGATGGTATGTAAGGTAATAATGACCTTACATTTTCGATTTGCTTTTTTGTTATCGTTCTTAAATAAAAATGAAAAAAAATTAGAAAAATCCAAAGATTGGTGGTTATCAGTACAAGTACTTTTTTAATGTTTTCTAAAAGTGGTTGTACATTAAGGAAATCATTCTGTTCCATAACAGTTAAGTTAAAGGGCCTTTTTTATTAGAGTCCGCCATTACCTTTTGCCAGTCCTCAGGGGAGTAGACAAGTGAGCATATTTTCTATGTCGCTTTTCGATAAGGGCAAAATCCCTATCAGAGGGAAGGTGCGTATGTCCGCTGACAAAAAATGTTGTGTTATAGTCTTAAACTTTTGTTCTTTTACCAGTTGGAACCATAAAGCCATCACAAGCCAGTTCTTGTTTTGCCCAGGGCAATTATCCGTAAAAAATACTATGTGTTCTGCTTTACCTATCTTTGAGGTCAGAAATTTTGAGTATTGATGCAACTTCATCACTTCCTCTTTTTGCAACATTTTCGGTCCAAACATGTGACCAGTGTTTCCAGTGCAGTCATAGACTCCTAGATTATGCATCCATATTTTCCTGCAATAAAATGCGGGACCAGTGGTTAATTTGGGAATTGGTAACGCTTGCTGTAAGTCAAACGATATAACACAGGTCTTCTTATCAGTTTGGGACCATTCTGTTTTACTTTTAAATAACTGTTGCATTGCCTGGGCTTTACTCTTGTGCAGATTAAGTCTTGTTGTCAATTCACTATAATCATTTTTGAATATTAAGGTCGTCGCATGTCTTGCAAGTGTCCGATTTTGGCAATTTAAAATCTATATTATACTGCGTACAGAATATCTTACGATAAGTATGCTCCTTAACTAAACTGCGCACCACTCAATGTGTCGCGACCAAAAAGTTCGTCCTTTTTCAAAACGACATAACTTTTTTGTTGCTTGAACGATTTTATTTTGGTCTGTAATGTCTGCTAACCCCATCGTCTGGCAATTCATGCTATAGATATTAAGCATACGGTTCTTCAAGTAAATTTTCTACAGGGTGATATATAAAACGGTGAAAAATTTCAATAACTTCATCTAAGCCCCGTTTGTAAAACAATAATTTTTTTTCAATTTTACTTTGAAATAATGAAGTATTATGTCAGGGTTCATACTATTGAATTCGTATAAAATTCCCTGACTTTTCCAGGTTTTCCAGAACTTTCTCAAGCTTTTTCCATAGACTGTGGAAGGTGTCAAAAATTGATATTGATATTCAGACAAATAGGAAAAAAATAAAAAATAGAATTTATACTTTGCAGTAAAAACAAAAATAAATACATATAGCATAATTCATATTATATGTGACCTAGACTATAGAAAGGTACCTATGGTCGGAAGAATCAATTTTTGTTTTTTGATCGAAATTTATAAAAACGTATTTTTTAATGGAACATACCGCAGACTCCTAAGTTTGAAACTTTTGCTGGAAATCATCCTTAAAGTTCAACATGAATTATAAAAATCGCGAAAAAAGTTATAAATAGATCAAGAATTGCTTTTTTTGATCTTTTATTTTCGTCAATATCCTGAAGAGACATATCGAAAGACCAATCTGGTACAACGTCATCTTCTATGTCACTAACACCTGCACCTCCACCTTGATCTTCGTAATCTTCATCACAATCCGTAAAATATTGTTCTCCACTGCTTTAAATTCTTTTTCTAAATCCATTATGCACTTTCACAAACCAAAATAACTTTAAATTAGCTGCATAACAACGAAAAACCACAAAAATACAATGATAAGAAAAGCAGCACGAATTATTCCAACTTTTTCAACGTTTTAACAAAATTAGCTATTTAGGGGAAATTACTTGAATAAGGTACAAAAATATTTATTGTAAAAGCACCACTGTATAATGGAAGTCTAAAGAGAGGTGAAGAGCCAAGGGTAATACGAAAAAAGAAAAGGTAGAAGCGCAAACACAAACGCGACGCACGGACAGTACTTGTTATCTTTAACAGCTGTTTTCTCGAAAACTTGATTTCTAACCATAGGTAGCTTTCCGTACTCCAGGTCACATATGTAATTCAAAAACAAAACTTTTTTAGATCTTTTAAAATTTAACTTAACATTTATAACAAAACATAGAGCATATTTCTCGTAAATAAAAACAAAACAAAATACAAAAATAGTCAAATAACTATTTTAAACTTTTTCTCTCAATATTTGTAGACGTCTATTGATACTGTCCACTTCATGGTTGGTTCCTTCAGTTCATTTTTGTTTTTTGTTTTCCAGAACCTTGATTTCCGTTATTAAACAATTTTTCACAATTACGAGAAAGACTTGTAATGTTACTTTGACTTTTGTCAAAGACAAACTGACAGTTACACGATTAGGTAGTTACATTATTTTAAGTATTAGTATTATTTACAGATAATTCCCTGACTTTTCGTTTTTTCTTTAAATTCCCTGACTTTTCCATGACTTTTTAGACTCATTTTATATTCCCTGACTTTTCCCGGATTTCCCGGTTTTCCCGGTCGCTACGAACCCTGTATGTGTTACCTTGAAACGTTTTTTAAATTTTTGGAATCTTAGCAACGAAAATATGATTTTTTTTCCAAAAGAGTACATTTAAGGCTTTTTGGTAGGCAATATATTCAGTCTTTTTAAGAACAAGAAAATAAGATGGTAAAAGATTGTTCCTTGAATAATTCTGAACAAGTGACAAGCAACAAACTTCCATTATTTTCAGAGGGGCCTAAGCAAAGACCACTTTTTCAAAATGACATTTTGGTGAAAATTCGCGAAAACTAAACCTGAACCCATCCATAGTTACGTTCGTGACATGTTTTCTTTATAATTTTGACCTCCTGATTCTGATTCAGTTGTCAAATTTAAGTTTCAGATAAAACCAAAATCATCAAGAATCAAAATTCGAAAACAATTCCCTGTTTTTAAATGTCTTAATAAAATCCCATTGCTGTCGTGTTTCTTACATATTTATAATGAAAATGCCATTTGGGGATTAATTTTTTGGGAGAAATTACTGCAATTTGTTTGAGTGGTTAGGATAATGTTACATAACTTACATTTACATTGTGATGTGATAACATCATTGATAAGTACCTACGTAATTTATAAAGTTAAATAAATATTATATTATATATTATAAATAAAATATTTTTGTTCATTTTTGAAAATTGTATGCGTAGATATAATCATAATCAAAACTTCAACATTCAATAGAAAAATGTAACAAACAATAACAATAATACCTTTCAATATTTCGTTGGCCCTCCCCTAAGCCGTAATAATTCGTTAACCCTCCTGGGCATTCCCTCGATCAAGTTCCTTAGAAATTTCTGGGATACCCCATTCTTTCTGAATAGCATTTACCAATTCATCCAAATTTTCCATGCCTCCTTCCCTCTCTTTCATCTTCAATTTTATCCTGCTCCACACATGCTCAATAGGATTCATATCCGGAGACAAAGGTGGCCAATTCATTTTCTCAATATGGTGGTCCCTTAAATACTCATTTACGATATGTAAAAAAACAGTAAAAACCAGCAATCGAATTTTATTGACACATTTAACAGCCGGGAATTGTTTTCGAATCTTGATTCGTAGTGATTTTGGTTTTATCTGAAACTTAAATTTGACAACTGAATCACAATCAGGAGGTCAAAATTATGAAGAAAACATTTTACGAAAGTAAATATCGGTTTAGGTTTAGTTTTTGCAAACTTTCACAAAAATGTCATTTTCAAAAAGTGGCCTTAGCTTAGGCCCTCTGAAAATAATGGAAGTTTGTTGCTTGTCGCTTGTTCAGAATTATTTAAGGAACAATCTTTTACCATCTTATCTTCTTGTTCCTATAAAGACTGAGTGTATTGCCTAAAAAAAAGCCTTAAATGTACTCTTTTGGAAAAAAAATCATATTTTCGTTGCTAAGATTCCAATTCGAAAAATTTGAATAATGTTTCAAGGTAACACATAATACTTCATTATTTTAAAGTAAAAACGAAAAAAAAATTATTTTTTTACAAACGGGCCTTGGATAAAGTTTTTGAAATTTTTCACCGTTTAACATATCACCCTGTAGGAAGTTTACTTGACCAACCATGAGCTTCATATCTATAGCATAAATTGCCAGAGGATGAGGCTAGCAGACATCACAAACCAAAATTAAATCGTTGAAGAAACAAAAAAGTTATTTCGTTTTGAAAAAGAACGAATTTTTTGGTCGCGACACATTGAGTGGTGCGCAGTTTAGTTCAATTCCCGCTTCTCGACACCAAGGTATATATCGTTCCGAAAAGAAACTAGCTATTGTTATGTTATGGTCCAAATAAACTTTATTCATGTTCTCTTGTCGACTATAGTGGCTTTGATATTTTGGAATCGATTCTATATGGTTTTTAACACTTACTCATCAGATATTTTGTTTAAACGGTTCATGTTTCCTCTTTTGTCTCTTTCTGATACTCGTGTTCCTTTTATTTTATTGCTAACAATATTATTAATTCTGCCTTGGAGTCCATGAACATTTAAGAACTCTGTTTTGAAGATAGTTTTTTAATAGTTTCCCTATTAACATTAACGGAGTAGACACCATTGCTTTTCCTATGCGATTCTTGATATTTTTGCTTCTTTCGGTAGGACCTATTCTTTTTAATAATATCTATACCAGTTATAAAACTGTTTTGTTAAACTATGATACAGTGTTATATTTAATAAATAAATAAATAAAATAAATAAATACACCCAAATAAGTAACTGTTTCGAAGTTCCCATGAACCAACGTTCCAAAACTCATTAAAAATATTAGTCTCGCAGCCCTGAAGCTTTTCCCTACACTTTTTCTTGCAAATGCAAGGCGGTCCCAGTTCTCAACCAGGCACAGTTTTTTTCGTTTTATCGCTTACATATTTTTGCCCTAAATTAGTTAGGACCTTTCTTTTCGATTTTGAATAACTCTGTTCATTTGTTTGTCTCCGTTGGAGTCTTTTCTGGTGAGTTTGGTTTTTTCTTTTTCTTGAACTTTGTTCATTAGCCTACAACAAAATGCAATAATATAAGAAGCCACGTAACAAGCCCCAAAAATATAATTTCAATTATAAAAGGTAATAATGTAACAAGCTACATTTAGAAAAAAATTACCTCTGTATTTTTTAAATTGTTCATAGTCTGGGTCACGGTCACTGTCATCGAATGTCGAGTCAACTTTACTATTTTTCTCGCTAGAAACATCAGAATGCACAGAATTATCGGCACTGCTTTCGCTCGTATCAGCCATTTTGGTGAGGCTTGTCATTATGTCGGCTAGAAATCAGAGCAAAATAGACTTAGTCAATATTGTGACCATGGGTTTGTCGCGCCATCCATTAACGAAGGAAGGAAATTTTTTAATAGTGGGTTGGTACAAACATAATTACCCACAATACACACAACAAGGTCTGTTCGATCTCGTAGTAAAAATACTAAAAATCACTGCAACACTGCACATCATACGATGGCGGCCATTTTTGTTTACAATTTTTGTGCTTTGAGTTTGTACAGATTAATAATCGTTTTAAACGTTGTGTTTCTTACAGAAAGACTGCAAGTCTTAAAAGAGACATCAAAGTGGTTAGAACAATCATTTTACTCCTCTTTTGTAAAAAATAAACCTTATTCTATCAGGGCTGTCAAATGTTAATTTGAAGCTTAATTTAAGGCTATTTTATAACCCACAAATTAACCTTCAAATTGACATTTGATAGAATAAGGTAATCTTAATCTGTACAAACCCAAAGCACAAGAATTAAACAACAACAATGGCCGCCATCGTATGATGTGCAGTGTTGCAGTGATTTTTAGTATTTTTACTACGAGATCGAACAGACCTTGTTGTGTGGATTGTGCTATTACCGTTATCGAGGATATTATTAACTCTTTTTGAATTTGTGTGGGATGTCATTATTTCCCATTAAGCCCTTCATTTGTACGCAGTTAAAAAGTCAAATTATTTGTACCGCCGTACCATAATAAAAATACATTAAAATTACATAGGAAGAGTTGTTATATCTATCACTGTAGAATAAATTCATATACATAACCTATAATATAACCTATGTCAAACGTCAAACCTGCAAAATGTGGCAAACTCGATAATTTCAATGTAAGTAAATAGAGAATTATTAAATGCTTGAAAAAAATATGTACAATACGGCGAAGAATAGTACATTCTGTAACAAGTTTGGAATACAGCATATTCCGCTCGAGGAAAAATTTGACACACGAGCCGAAGGCGAGTGTGACGGTTTTACGAGAGCGGAATATGCTATTCCAAACGTGTTTCAGACATTATTTTCTCTACGATTACGTAAGAATAGTAACGCTTATATAATTTTAACCAGAGAAAAGAAACCAAGCAGTTTTTGACATTTAAGTTTTTTGTATTGTCAAACCATTTTTATTATAATTAAAAATAGTTATTTAAATTAACTAATAAAAAAAATAACATTGTAACAAATACAAAACTAATTTTACAAGTAATCTATGTCAACATCTATTCTTTTTCTACATTTTAAAGGTCTTTTTTTAAAACTTTTTGAATCTGTCAAAACTTCAAAGCCGGTATAGTAGGTAACTGGTTTATCATTTTAATATCAAATTTATTATAATTTTGATTTGTATATTTGAAAAACAATAAATATAACTAATTTTGTGCCTAAACCTTAATTATACAACTGCTATTATTTTTTAATTAATAAATAATACAGTAATATTTAAATATTTTTAAATTTTTTACGTTTAGTAAACAGCCAGGAGATGTCGTTACTTGTGACCATTCTTATACAAGAGTGGGAATATTCTCGCACAGTATTGCAGAAAAACATCCTTTCTATGATCAAAAATTACACTAGAATGTTACTATTCTTAAGTAGTCGTAGAGAAAACATATTATGGCCCCGCTCAGATCTGCAGCCTCGGCTTTCCCCGCCTGTTAGATAATGTATAGTGGTATTATATCTCATGGCGGGTGATCTTGAGAGACGCTGACAGACGCCATTCAATTTAATAAATAAATGGAAACTAAAAACATCAGCCACTTCCATAGACCTTTAAGTTAACTTAAATGTCTATGGATGCTTCCCAACATCTGTCAACTAATATAGTAAGGCGTTTTTTTCTTTATTTTATGAAATATATTGTAACATTAGATAATGACTGCAATTGAAGACCCTGCTGCAAAAAGGAGGTAACTCCATAAAAGTTATTTTTGAGTCATCTTTGCATTAAACAATGAGTAATAGCGCGATTTGACGGATTTGTGACGTTTGCGCGCCCAAGGTCAGCCGCCATGAGATATTAATACCACTATACTATTGTAGGATATTTCGTGGCGTACGTATGGATATGGTACGCTATACGCTTTATTTTTGAATTTTTTTTTCCTCTTTAGGGATTTCTTTGTATCTCTTCCAGCTTTTCCTTAATTAAGACTTTTGTAAATACCAGGGAATACAGGTAATGAAGGTAATCACAACAAAATTAAGTATTTTAATTGGCAGAATGAGCATGAAAAAAGCAATATAAGTATGGGTATGAGTATGAGTATAAGAACGTATGGCTGGCCCCTTCTGCATCGCCTTAAACTGATCCCCAGAGTTTTACAATCTTTTACTTCTCATCCCGCAAATGCACCAGCATTACCTGCCTTTGATGGATCCGAATTTTCACCCAGGCTAGTAAATCTCTCTTAGGAGGTCGTGTCGTGGAGGACAGTTTTAATGGTTAAGTCCCTACCCTGAATTTTATCGCCGAGCCGGGCCATACGCCCGATTTAGGCTAGTGGAGTGCGGGACAAGTAGGAAAAACATTTTGGTTTTTGGGGGACATTGGACTGACTCAAAACTAAGTACAATCCAGAATCCCCTACAACAAAGGATTTAGTAATACCCCCCATAAAATTGGGGTCCATGAATGGGGCTTGGTTGGTTGCTAGGACCTATCCTTGCTGGTCTTGTAGTCTGCTAAAAATTCGGAAGCTGTACGCAAATTGTTTGCCCCATTGTGCGAAACCATTTGTTCAGCATTGAGGTCGAGAACTATCGATAAATAGTTTTTTATGGTCGGCAATGTAACTACCGATAGTTATTGATAGTTTTTAATAATTTTTTATTAATGTTTATTACCAAAGTAATGCAAAAATTATCTAATTCTAAATCTAAAGCGTTCGGTTGTCTTGGTTTTGTGGTAGAAATTGTATTTACTTTTTTTATTATTCTTTTCTAAGAATTATAAGTTGCATTTATTATTTTATTCAATAAAATTGCTCTTAACCTTTGTTTTTTTTTAAATCTCTAAAAGTTGGAGGTGTCAAGTGGTTTATTAGTTTATGTTTATGTTAGGTAAAGATCGAAACTGGTTTAGAGTGTGAACCTACTTAAGATTTATGGGTTTAGTAATATTTTTTAAAGTCGCGTCCTTTGGTTGAATATGCTTGTTTTTAAGTCAAACTTGCTTCGCTGAATAGCCATTAGGTATTCTTTGGTCTATTAAGATGTTGATTTATTATTCCCTGATCACCTTTTTTAATGATTTAATGATCTTATTTTATTGTATTTTTGTTGTTCCTACGGATTTTTTTACTTGAAAAGGAATAAACCCGAAGGCTTGGTAGGCTTGGTAAATTACGAAATAACGAATAGGGTCATGTAAATATTATTAAAATACTTATGCGTATTTTGCCTGGTTTCCTCGTGATTGATCTCTTTTAGGTTCCCGCCACAATGAACCACCTGTTTAGGTGGGTGGCAGGGGTGACACTATGCAATTTGCACTTTAGTCCTGGTCAGTGAGGTGTTTATGCAAATTGGCATTCGCTGTACTACACACTGTTTACCGAAACTTTATAGAATAATTACCTTTTAGTTATTCTAGATTTAAATGCACTGATTATAACCACTATGGTTAGATTTTGTATCGTTTGTGGAGCGTCTGACGGGTACAGATAATACTGTCGTACTGAGCATGAAAAAGACATTACCAAATAAAATAATAGCGAAAATTTATAACATATTTTTTTTTAAGATAATAATATTGCTTCTAAAGAAACCATCTATGTCCTAATATAAAATAAATGCAGTAATCTGGGAACCATACGAAGTAATTGCAACTACTATTTGAAAAATAAAAGGAATAACTAGCAATACTAATACCTTTTACTTGTAATTATTGCATGGATTCCTTAGATGCCAATTGAAACTAGATGTATTGCACTTAATAAAGCGATTTGGTTTTCAGATACCTACGCTAATGAAAGGCATAAACTTTGCGCTTATAAATATGGATAAGTAACTTATACAGTTCAATGTTATTTATAGTAATAAAGATGTGCATAAGGTTAAATATGTCTATGTAATATTCGTACACGTATATTAATACTAATGAATAAACTATTTATTTTGTAAAAGAACCTACCTACTTTGTTACATAATTTATGTTGGTTTTTAAAGCTGGTAGGATAATTTTAGAAAAAAAACCTTACTATAAATGTTTTCCATAAATCGGCCAGAATAATGGTCAGATTTAATGAACCATTAAATTATAATTATTGTGAACTAAAAACTATTAATCTTAAGACAAACTCATTCAAAATAAAGGAACAATTTTAAAATAAAACCAAAAAAAATATATCCAAACAATCAAATATTTAATCTAGACAGAAAAAATCCTTCAAAATATTGTATCTAATTGCAATGACGGCTAGACGTTGCGTTCACATGTTTTGGTTAAAACGTCTACATTAAAATTATAGCAGTCGTTGGTAATATTTTAAAGGGAGTGATTAAAAATGGATTCAGAAACATGAGCATTATTTTCCGTTGAAGATGAAGAAGATTATGAAATTCCAATGTTAAAACAAAATCTATTTGCTCTTCATTAAGTCGAAAAAAGCCACGAAACTGTTCATCATCGGCTTTAAGATGGTTTTTAATTAGAACTTTATAATATCCTTCTTGGCTTTTAGATGTGTATAATTCGTCAGTTACTTCTCTTCTGGACGTTAATAACATTCCGAATTCACTTTTAATCAGTGATTAATAATACCTCGCTTTAAAATATTACCAACGACTGCTATAATTTTAATGTAGACGTTTTAACCAAAACATGTGAACGCAACGGCTAGCCGTCACTGCCAGACGTCGCGGCGGGCCGCGAAATCTGGACGTCGCAACGAAACCGAACGCTGGACGTGGACCACCTTTATATTGTAAAAAATATAATAAAAGTTTCACTTTACTTACT